TATATATATATATATATATATATATATATATATATATATATATATATATATATATATATATATATGTATGTATGTATGTATGTATGTGTATATGTGTATATGTGTATATGTATATGTATATGTATAATAACCGAATGTTTGGTCAGAAAGTACCTGGAAAATTCATGCCCTTTGTTAGAAAATAACTGAGAATTAAGCCATATGCCCTTTGTCATCTTCAACCCAGTCTAATTCCAAGACTATACTATTGGTAACATTTGAATGACTATATAACGTAACGCTTTATTTTATTTTATTCGATTTGAACTTGAGTGAAGTCATATTGATCACGGCCAAATGTTCTCCCGGTGCATGCAAAATATGGTAAAGTTGTAAAATTAACAAACAATAAAATAATGTAAGAATTATTCAGGAAAATCTTAAATCGCGTTACCTTTATGCTAGCTTTTGAGTTGTGCTCCTGCTGGGTTTAAGTTATATTTATGAAAATATCATTTTTATACAATAAAATGGTTGTTCTAAAAAATTGTGTTCGGAAATTTTTTTGTTTATTTCGTCATTCCGCTGATATGGCGATTTCTTTGACGACTGCAATATATTTCTGAATTGTTTGAGTGAATTGCTCTTTATTTTTAAAATATCCAAAATTTAAAAAAAGCCAAACAAACTTTTGAAATTTGAGAAAAATTGGTTAAAACCCGCAGGAGCACAACTCGTTTGAAAATCAGTAATTACCTAAAATTTTTCGGGAGAAAATTGAATTTGAATATTACATTTTCAATGATTTTCTTATTGCAGCCAAATGTATTTTACTAAATAACTCTGCGAGTTTTCAACATTTTTCGTTCAAACTGCATGGTCAGATAGTAGAACTAGTCTAATGCTTTCATTGAAACCAATAAAAAAATTTTAGGCAAAATTAACACTCAAAGCCAAAGGTGTTCTGTAACCTTATTATTCTGCATTCGTGCAAATAAACAAAGGTGAAGTATGCTGCATGTAAATTGCATTCTATATAGATATTGGTGAACAGTGAGGATAAAGATAGTCAAAATTTATATATTTTGGACAGTCTTACTTTGGCATTGTAAAAATTCGGTTTATGACATCAACTTTATGTGCCGATTTGTGTTGAGATCGCCACAATCACAAATATGTGGTATTAAAGGCTATACTCTATAGGCTATATATCCTTCAAAAACTCCTTAATAATTCATGAGGAAAACACAAAGAGAAATCATAAGCGTGGCGTGTCTTTATATGTGATAAAACACGCTTCAAATTTCAACTTGTATTTTCTCGCCAATGCCGTGATCTAATTGAGACGTTTTTGAAGCTGTTTAATTAATAAACTCGTAGTTCGTGTTTTATCACATATAAAACATTCCGCTACGCGTCGTATATTTATGTCCCCCCCCCCGGAAAAAGTGAATTTTCGCAAATGTCCTCTGCAGTACCAGAAAGCGCCATGCAATGTATGACGAAATGAAACCGAATAACAAATAGAAACCTCACACGATTAATGAATGGCCTAAACATTACGAGTTGATATTGTGACACGCAATTACGGCAAAATATGATGATAATATATAATTTTCATGCATACCTTAACTGCAATTTTACAAAGTGTGTTTGTCGCCTTATGAGTTATAGGTTATATATACACCAACCTCGTACCCAGGGTCTTTCCTCTTGGGGAGAAAAGACCCTGTTAGACGCTGGTCACGTGATCTAAGTAAAGTCTAGCAGGTTTCTAATTAACGGCAATCGTACAAAATGAAAATTATAAATTAAACTAAAAAAATAATCGAAATGTCAAATATTTATTGACCTCCTCTTGGATTGCTAATTAAAAATCTGCTACATTTTAGCAAATCACGTGACCAGCGTCTTTTCTCACCTCGCCAAGACGAAAGACCCTGGGTACGAGATTGTATATACACGGCATATAAAGTGAATAAAATTTCAATTGGCACCAACTACCACAGAGTATAATCTAACCATTGCGAGAAATAACATAGCTATTTTTCTTCACAAACTGAGTGCGGCAAATGAGAATATAAACTTCTTAGTATATTTACTTAGTTTTAAATTCTGCCTTATGGCTATATAATTATGGCAAACAGAGGGGACTTTTGCAGCGCTGGGCGAAATTTTCGCTGGGGCAACGGTTTAATTCAGTCCCTCGCGAATTTTGGTTTTTTTTTTCAAAGTTTGATGTGCAATTTCAAAGGATTCAAAGTTCTCGACATTGTTATTTACTGGTTTTTGAAAATATGGCTAATTTTTCTGCTGCAGATAATATTGTCCATTTCGAGTTTTGAAAAGAATCAAATGACGTTTCACAGTATCTCGCACCTCCTCGCACCTCTTTTACATAGATATTCAACTTTGTTGACTCGTCAGATTTCTGTGCTATTTGTGCAAGAGCAGAACTTCCTAAGATGTGGAAGCTCGCTTGCGATACAGTACGGTTCGTTGCCGTATTTGTTAACTCTGCTGATGCCAACGTTCACAACAAATTTGCCTCGAACGAACTTGACTGTCGCCTCATAAACAACATTATTAGGTGCTGTCACAAATTGTACTTGGTACCGGCACAGGTATGCCTGAGAGTTTTGAAATCTGCGTTAAAATTCGTCTTCCAATCCCAGTCTACGTGACTGAATTGTAAAACACGTTCATTGGGTCGTTCCAACATCGCATACTTTACTTCCATTAGAGTAAGCTTTTCACATAACGTTCTACTTTTGTTCTTCTCCTGATTAAGATTATTAATATACTTCACTGTTGCTAGTGCTGAATTTCTAATATGACTATGCTCTACGCTTACCGCAGACCACTCTAAACACGGGCACCAGTGGTCGGGGATACTAGCCTCGGCGCATGTGCGAGAGTAGGGAATCTCGGTGAGAAGACTTTGACCGTGCTTTAGATCCGACGGGAGGTCTGGGTACGACAACATGTGGCGAAACGTTGCGTACACATCAAACCATGACGTCAGACGTTTTGTATTCGTCTTTAAGTTTGCAGTAAGTTTGGGATAGCGAGACTTGAACCATGGCGGGAAGGTCATTGTGTAAAACGGTAGACGTTCCTCCAGCTTGCCTTGGATTGATTCTCTCACCTCACCGAATCGTAAGCCGTGATCTCCCATGACAATCAATAAAGTATTATTGAGGTAGCCTTTCGACTTTATCTCTTGCAACAATTCCAGGAAATCCCACTCGAGTTTCTGCACTATGTTGATTCCGTGATGGCCATGTCCGCCTGAAAATAAAGTAACAAAAATTTCCAACCGCTCGTTCTACAATATATTAAAATTATAGTGCCCCTAAGGCCCCGTTTACATGAGACCGGAACGAAGTCAAACCGGGATCATTTCGTTTCGGTCATAGTATTATTTATAATAGATGTTTACATGAGACCACGGGACGAAAATAACTCAGACCGATCTCAAGTCATCCCGCCTGCTAGACCGAGCCGACTGACTTCAGACCGGCATGTATTCAGACTGGGATGAATGTAAACACAAATACATTTCAGACCGGTCTCGGCTGTAATCTTGACATTGGAACAACACATGCTAACAAAAGCCATTCAAAAAAAAGAAAATTGCCTGGCAAGGGGTATAAATTGAAAATTTTGTGATTTTCGTATCGGTCTCATGTAGACATGTTGACAATTTCAATTTTCATTCCGGTTTGACTTAGTCCCAGTCTCATGTAAACGGTGTCTAAAATTGATTTTTGATATGAGTACTATTTGGGGTATTCTAAGAAGAAATGTAATATATCTTTAATTTAGGGAAGCTTTGGTTGAGAGAGATACAACTTAATTCCGGAAAAATATAGGCAGAATTTCGACTTTTCGAGCGAAGGTCCTTCGTCAACAGGGGGTGTTTATATGAGTCCTGCGTGAAGCGCTGGTCCTACTACTACTAGGCGAGATCTTGCGTACTAATTGAAATCCTTACTGGAAATCCTTATATGAGAGAAGGGGCAGCTCTCGATTTCGGATCGATCTAATAAGTTGCTGTGTGAACAGCCCTAAACTAACTTGAGTTGTACTGTATATAGCCGACAGCCATCCATAAGTCGTCGCAACGATGATTGCGGCGATCCAATCTAACGCACGTTCCAAATACGTTTAAAATTTTATGGTATTGCAGACTAGCCTCGGAACTTGTTCTTCCGCATTTTGCTTTCATCAAGGCTTCTTTTTTAGGTGGGCTGGAGGGGGGGGGGGGGGGCGAAAATAGTTACCTGGACTG